ATGTTGCTAGATGATGCCACCTTTGATCCTTCAAAGAAACTTTGTTTGATTGATGCAGTACAACGCTTAGGCATTTCTTACCATTTTGAGACTGAAATTGAAAATGCCTTGGAGAAGATATATCTTGGTGGTGCTGATAGTATTGAATCTAATTTGTGTATTGTTGCTCTTTGGTTTCGGTTACTTAGACAACAAGGGATCAAAGTTTCATCTGGTCAATTCTTATCCTAATCTTTGAAAGATATACAATACATATCTATTGTAAGATTGTTTTTATGAGTTAATAATGAAATAATTTAATTAGTTGAACTAAAGGTGCTCACGTTGTTGATATGCAGAGATGTTCAAGAAATTCATGGATGAGGAAGGAAATTTCAAGGAAGATTTAGTGAATGATGTGCTTGGAATGTTGAATCTATATGAGGCTGCACATCTTTGTGTGCATGGAGAAGATATCTTGGATGAAGCCATTGCATTCACTACCTCACACCTTGAATTGATGGCAACAAAAGTAAGCCCTTTGCTTGCAGAACAAATAGCTCATGCGTTGAATCGCCCCATCCAGAAAGGCTTACCAAGAGTATAAGCAAGGCATTACATATCTTTGTACTCAAGAGATGATCATTTCATCTCCTCTAACACAGCACTGCTTAAATTTGCAAAGATCGATTTCAATGTGCTACAAGCGTGCCACCTAAAGGAGCTGAGTGGCATTATGGAGTAAGTTTTTTTTTTTCTTTTTTTCCTTTCTGCAATAAAAGTTTTTTTTTTCTTTTTTTCCTTTCTGCAATAAATAAACTTGTAATGGTGGAGAAATACTGTCTTAGGCTTTTGAATTTGGCTTGGTATTTTAGGTGGTGGAAAAAATTGGATTTTTATACAACAAAGATGCTTTATGCAAGGGACAGAGTGTTGGAGTGCTACTTTTGGATATCGGGAGTTTACTTCGAGCCCAAATACTCCTTAGGAAGGACTTTTTTGACTAAAGTAATAAGCTTGACATCTATTTTGGATGATACTTATGACAACTATGGGACAATTGAAGAACTCGATCTCTTGACCAAGTGTATTGAAAGGTTACATTCTTAATTTTAATGATTATTTTAGTCAAATTTTTTTGAATATATTCACATATTTCAAAAATATAATATATAATTTTGATCTATAACTTTTAGGTGGGACATTGGTGTCATAACTCAACTTCCAGAATATATGAAATTGATTTATGAGGAACTTTTAAACGTTTATAGTGAAATGGAAGTGGAGGTTGAAAAAGAAGGAAGATCATATGCTGTGGATTATGCAAAAGAGTCTGTAAGTAACTAATTCATCTATGACTAGATTAATTAAGGTTATGTGGACTTTGGGATTATTTATTAATTTCATGTGTAAATTAATTTCTTGAATAGATGAAACAAGTAATGAAAGGTTACTATGATGAAGCCAAGTGGTGCCAAGAAGGTTGCATTCCACCCCTGGAAGAGTATATGCAGACAGCCCTCATAACTTGTGCATATCCAATGCTCATAACAAATTCCCTTGTTGGCATGGGAGAAATTGCATCCAAAGAAGTCTTTGATTGGATCTCTAATGACCCTAAGATGGTTAAAGCTTGTGCAATTATAGGTAGACTTATGGATGATATTGTCTCGCATGAGGTACGCTCTACTTAAGTATGTATAGTTAATTTATCTTGATTAATTTTATGTAATTCAACCTGTATAAAAGCTGTCGGTAGGACTATAAATGATTTCATAGATTTATATTGACATGTAAAAATTTATGCAGTTCGAGCAATCACGAGTTCATGTTGCATCCGCCATTGAATGCTATATGAAGCAATATGGTGTTTCAAAGGAAGAGACAGTGAAAGTTTTTCGAGAAGAAATTGACAATGCATGGAAAGATGTCAATGAAGAGTTCATGAAACAAACAGCTCTTCCTATGCCTATCCTGACTCGAGTTCTCAACTTTGCTCGGGTCATGGATGTCATATACAAGGATGATGATGGCTATACAAACTCTCACATTATAAAGGACCAAATTGCTTTGCTGCTCGTGGATCCTGTTCTCATGTGAAAGGGTGTTGATCCCCGTACCGCCTTTGGAATTAAAGTAAAACCAGTGATTGTTGTGCCCACCATAAAAAAGTGGCTTTAATTTTATTTCTGTCTTTCAATAAAAGATACGCATCCTTAATTAGCTGTCCTAGTAGTAAGTTTGAACCAAAACACATGGTTGAGACCATGATTCGAGTCCTCTTGTAGTGATTCCTGTACTCCCAATTTTCATTGTCCCAAAAAAAATAGAAGATCTTATAATGTCTTAATTATCTTTGTAGGAAGATGCCATAAAAATTCTTCAAATGCCTCTGAGTAAAAATTGCATGCAAGACAGGCAAATAGAAAGCACTCAGATTAGCAAAGAAACCATTAAGTGGAATGTAGGAGACGTTCTCGTGCATCTGAGTAATTTTGTTGGCATCTTCCTACACTGTCATATTTGCAGGAAGATGCCGACAAAGTACTTGAAGTGCTTCTGAGTAAAACTGCATGCAAGAAAGTCTAATCTGGACCAAAACAAAACAATCTGGACCAAAACAAACAATGAAAAATTCACTGTCAAATCTGCCTATCCCTTAGCTTGGGATGTGATTTATGCAAATGAATTCCAGGAATTCATTGAAATAATGAGCCTAGTGTGGAAGGCTATTTGGTTTTTGGATTTGCAGCTAAAAATAAGTTACAAAACTCTAAGTGAAGACTAAGTACTCAGATTGTAGGTTGATATCTTACGGATTATTAGACAAAATTTTAACTCAATCTAACCATGAACTTTTATAAATTGGACAAAATGACAAAACTGCATACTAAACCTGCTGAAATTCTCTTGTTTTCTCCCATCTTTTTTATACTGTCAGCTCCACTTTCACATCCTTACTACCATCCAAAAAACAGCCCCCCTTTTTCGTGTTTAACGGGCTACTAAATCATTAGTTTAATGTGGGCTTACTCCACCAAACTTTCATTTCTTCACATGATAGAGATAGACGTAACCCAACCATTGCTTGGTAAGTTAATATATGAGTATATCTCCTTTTATTAACAAAGAAAAAACTAAAAAAGGAAGTTAGGCTTGTCATACCATTTTGAGAAGGATTGTTTTTTTTAATGGAATTTTTAGAAGGATATTGACCACACCTTTGAACAAAATTAATTACATAATGTCCCACGATGAATATGATGATCTCTATACTGTTTCCCTGAAGTTTTGTCAGCTTCAGCAACTTGGTTATGGAATTTTATGTGGTAATAATTCAAACCCCGTCTTTGATTTCTATATGTTAGAAAATCCATTTTACCACCTGTGGATTGCAAGTTTGCAACACGTCTGCCGCAGTGGGAACTCGGTAGCACGTGAGCTTGCTAGGAGGGCGCTCCAAGCTAAGGATGATCAGATTTGGATAGGTGTTGATTCCTGAATTTATTGCACACCATGTAACAGGGGACAAACCAAATTAAATTGCTTTTAATGCCTCTGTTTATTTATCATTTTGAATAATATGTGCGTACATTTTATATATAAAAAAAAGATTTTTTTTTTTATTTCTAAAGTTTATTTTTTGCTCCGTACCCGGTTGGTTAGGCGATGACATGGTACAATTTTTGTTAATAAATTTGTATTTATTAATTTTTAAATATCACCTGAAAATGAGGTGTAAATGTAAAATAAAATGCTTATCTGGCCTATTTAAAAAGGTTTTCTTTACCACTTAGCAAATGACTTGGACAAAATTCATTGTCACAACGTACTTTAAATGATTGTTTAATTACGTGTAATTATCATTACAACATGACAATTTAATTAAATTATTAAATTGGAAAAAGGGAAAAGCAGGTCCACTTTAATAAAACGGCGCCGTTTAGACAATAAAGGGAAAATTTAATCCGTCCGTTACCCTTTTTCACTGAGGCATTCGGTCTAGCCGGAGCAACAGCTATGGCAATCAATGGATTCGATGCCGTGTTCAGTTTGATGGCTGCCGCTGCTGCAAACGAATACACTAACCACACCGTTGGCGGTGATGCCGGCTGGTTCTTCGATCCCGTCACCGACACCTCTGTTAGTAAATTACACTTCTTTGGCCGCAAATCAAACCTTCAATCTCGGAGGCTATCTCAGTAAGGCTCAACACCATTTCCTATTTCATATCTCCTTTTGTTGAGAATGTTCGGTTTTGGCGGTGAATTTCAGATCAAATCATCGTTTGATCACAATGGAACAGAGGAAATTTTGCAGGAAATAATGGAAATCTAAACTTGAAATCTGATTTTGTTGAAATGAATTAGAATAAGTTCTTATTACGCTATCTCGTTTGAAATCGCAGATTCGAATAATTTCTCTTTGTTTTCTAATTGGGGAAAGGGAAAAGCAGGTCGACCCGCAAAAAATAGTTGCAGCCTGCGGCGAAGACGATGGAGCTCAGGCAAGAAAACTCTGTAGCTATGGGGTTTCGGTGAGAGGAGAAGCGGCTTCTGGTGGAGTTGCACGAGAGGAAACGGACGGATTAAATTTTCCCTTTATTGTTTAAACGGCGAAGACGATGGAGCTCAGGCAATTTTTTTTGCAGGTCGACCTGGGTTTCCCTTTCCCTTATTAAATCATAATTATAAAGATATTACCTAAAATCATCATCTTCTTCCCGAACCCCATCCCCTTTTTGTCCGGTGACAAGCCAGATCATCATTCTCTAATGTTGAAATATCAATTTGCTCCCTCAACTTTCGAATTTATACTATAATTATCTTTAAACTTCAAAATATGCCAAAGTTGTTCTTAAACTTTAATTTTTGATGGAAAAATAGTCTTTTTGTTATTGAAAGTGCCATGTGATTTGTTATTTTCTCATAAATTCAATTCTTTTTTAAAATATTAATAACGTGTAAAATCAAACAGTCATTTTATCGTTGTAACATTTTTATTTATATATCAAATTGAGATATAATCAAAATTAAAAGACCAAATTAATACTTATAATCAAAGTTTAAGAACTAATTATTACTATTTTGGTACCAAAAATTAAAGTTCAAAGACAATTTTAATAATTTTTGAAATTTGAAGATAATTTCAACACAATTTTAAAAGTTTAAAGACCAAATTAGTATTTTAACCGTTCTCCAACTAGCATCTAGAAACTTGTACCATCTCTTCTCCACGACCCCTTTGAAACTATCGATCCTCAATTTACAATTTTTGGGTTTAATTTGGTTAAAATTAATG